AGATTTAAATCAAAAGTATTTATTCAGTAATCTCGTTAAAATAAATACGACTTGCCGAACAAGAACAATGTTTAACAATAACAATTGTATACAGTTTTCTAGATTCTTGCTTACCTTACTATGCACGTTATTTATATATTACATCATTTAAAGCTTTTAACGATAATATGTATATATAATAAACATGACCTACGATATTAATTTGTTTAAAAATATCTGAAACAAGATAATATTATATAATAAAATCCATTAATAAAATAATATAATAGGTACTAAACGCAGAATAATAGATACGTACCTATATTGTAATTACTTTGCGGTCTTGAGGATTACAAATTATGTATTTTGTGCTGTATAATGTTTACATTTTATCCATCCATGTTACATATTATTATAATACTTGTTTTTTTCAACATTTAACACTCATTATCTCAAACAAATATTATAAAGTTTTTAAAAATATTTTTATTCCATGAATTATATTCCTCACCAACGACATTTTTGAACAAAATGATATTATTTGTTATTTTGAATCGTTGACATTTTATAATTTTTTTTACCATTTTTACTTTTTGATTCACAACACACATTATTAGTTTTATATTCTTAGCACAATGGATGAAAATCAAATTAAATAGATAATTGTAACTTAAAACTAATTATATTAAAGTTTTGATGAGCGGGGGTAGTGGACTATTGACCAACGTTTTATCACACCACTGCGGTTACATAAGCCGTGGTTATATTAAACTTAGGTATAAGACGTGTATAATTAATTGTTATATTTAAACTGTTCGTTAAAAATTTGATTTTTTATACAAAACAATATTTTGCTGTAGAAAGAGAAATTAATCATGTTGTCCTTTAAATAAGTACAATTTGTAAAATGGTAAGAAAATACAAATATAATTTTTTTTTTAAAGTTGTTCGTAATGAATTCAAATTATGTAAAAATAATAATTTTAATAACGTTTATGTTTTTCGGGATAGTGAGTATTTACTGTTAAAATAATCACTTTGTATAGATATATTATATTATTGTTTTCTTTAATCTTTAATTATGTTACGTTCGAAGTAAAAGTGACGCTTTGATTAGTTGTCTTTGTATAAATGTGAATAAATTATCTCACTACCATACTATAATAATTCTCATAACACAATTATTATTTATTTATAGATATATATTTATACTGCAATAAGTTGGTGATGATCTAAACATTTTAATTAATCATAAACTAGCATTATACTGGATGATTTATTTTAGATTCTCAATTAGGCATACCAGGCATTATACATTTCTAGTTTGAACTTTAGAATATACAAAACCAGAATAATGAACAAAATAATACACAATAATAAATAATAAATACAAATTATTTGTATTTAAACTGAATCAAAAGATTACTAAACAGTTTAATTATAAAGTTATAATTACTATTGTTAATTGTTATTAAGTATAACTATTGCGGATTTCCATTGATAAATTCGTGAGATTTTATCGTATCTCTTATTATATTGGTATCTATCTACCATTTAATACCTTACTAATTATTAACTACCTACTTATATTCCAATAATTACGCCATTGATAAACTTACTTATATTGTATGAATCAAATAGTTTAGATTGGTACTCTAATGCATTGCAATTGAACTTTAAAATTTAAAATAATTTCCAATATATATATATATTGATACCCAAGAAAATGAAATAATCTAGTGCCCATAGGAAATAACCAGTTATTCTCTGTATCCTTATTGTAGTTTTAAATTTCAATAATTTATAACTTTTGTAAGCTCCGTGTATTTATCTATGTTCAAAATAAACGTATAACAATGGTTGAGTTTGAGTTTTGAAAACTTCAATAGGTCAATGTAGGTAGGTACCTAAACATACTATAATAACTTTAATATATATTAATATTGTTGTCCATTTAAGCTATACCTAGTTGTGTAGACACATAAATTAGATAGGTAAGTTGTTCTAGACCTCAAATAATCTGATCCCACCCCTTTAAATAATAATCAATAAACACGAATACATATGTATAAATAGTTATAACGTAATAGAATGGTATGTTTTATTTGTTAACAAAATATTTTTGTAAAATAAAATATATTTAAATAATAATAATTTTTTTTTTACAATACCTAGTTCATAAGTACGAAGGATAGGATAGTATAAAAACTCAATATTCAAATTGTATAAATCAAAATAACATAATTTGTAGTGACTTTAAGTAAGTATATTCAAAGTATACATTGTATTTACCTCTTGTATATTGATAGTTTTTTGTTATTTATAAGAAGAAGCTAACTATGTAATATTATAATCTAAACTTTATTTGACTTAAGGAAACTGAGACTTGCCATGGTATAAGTTTTTGATGTGCAGCTTTCAACAAAACTTAGTTTTTGTAAATTACAAATTAAATTATAAGGCTAGTTTAAAAAGATAAAAAAAAATATATCTTACATAAATATTATATGTTTCACATTATAATATAACATCAGTTTATTAATTTCAGTAAAAATATAAAAAAAAAAATTGTATTGTAATAAAACATAATTAATTAATATTAAACTTAATGTGATTTTATTTAATTAAATCTTAAATAAATACATCAAATTATCTTTTGATATTTCAGTTTCAAAATTGATTTTTGTTCATCTTAAAAGTATAATACCGACTGCATAGTACAATTTGATATTTTTGAATTGATTTAAATAGTTTTAACTTTAAAAATAAAATATGAGAACAATATTATGATCTGTCTATAACCAATATAAATTATAAAATTGTATATAGGTGTCACTAGAGTACACCATTATTGTATGTAGCTAAGAGCAGATATTTTTATACTTAAATACAAAAATAGATATGATAACTCATCGGGCCAAATTCACATTTAACGTACTATTTTCGATATTGTTTAATAGCAATTACACTGAACATGGATTGATTTATGTCTTATGCAAATTCTACCCCATTCAGAATCCATTGTAATAGCCAAAAGCTAAAACAGCTTACAACTTACAAGTTTAAAAGGCCGGAAAAAATTAGATAAATCTTTATTCAATTATTCGAAAACTTGTAGGCACCCTCACCATATGTGTTGAGTTATACAAAAATATGGAAATTTCAAGTTCGTGATGTTTTACGTAGATTTAACTGTTTCAGTAAATTTGTTGATTCCTGTGAAGAATCTTTAAGCACATGGTAATATTGTACATACAACAATTATTATAACCATACCTTTTATCCGTATCGTAATGACGTGGATCGCTCAACTTTAATAAATACTATATTATATTGTTACTAATTGGTCATATTATTATAATAATAGTATAACAAAAATTAATATTCAATTACAATATTAAACCCGCGGTTTAATGCAAGGTGTTTCAAATTATAAGTTGGCCTAAGTGTCGTACCCGTAGGTACCTGTTTAATTATTTGCATTCAAATACAATACGGTCGTTTACTCTCATAATATAATATTATTCCATTAGCATTCCCTAGTTTTTGCTTATTCGCAGCTTCACTATTACCTGTCCATTCAAATCAAGCATCCAATAAAAGTTAAACATTATACGTCATATGACTACGTTTTATTCGGTTCAGACTCGAGTTGTAGTTCGTTTTGAAATATAATGTAATCAACTGGAACGCAGGCTATACAATATTCCAAGTAGTTGTGAATTATTAAAATAACGTTTATTTTATATTATAATGTTTCCAACGGCCCAGTTATCTAGGTCAATTTGTGTGTAGTTCGTAAGTACAATAGGAATATTAAGTAGTGGCCGTTTATTCTAGACCAAAGCCATAAATATATAAGACGTATCGAAAATACATTAGGTATATGTTTAGAACTTTTCTATATTTTATTCAAAATTTGATTTGGAGCTTTTATATAGTTTTATATTTCCGACTGCTTTTATTATATTTATTTCGTTTATCTACGTGGTCTTCTTGAATCGGATAATGGAAATAAACCCTCAATAGTTACACTCTGTCAACGGAGATTGGAAATAAGCACATTTAGTATTTAATATTATAGAAGAACTTTTACTACTCTGTATTTTTAGGGGGAGATGGAATAGCGAATAACGTCAAAACACGTCTAAGACATTAAAACAAGTTGCGGGTCGTGCAATAATCTCGAAAATTTGTTTTATTTCTCTCAGATTACTAAATTGTTAAAGTGATAAAAAATAAATACTTTGATATATTGGAAGTGCTGCACGGAAAAACACAGCACCATGTCCAAGATACGTATACCTACTACGGGTACGATTTATGGTAGCACAACAATAGTAGGTACTTATATTATTTTGATTGGTAATAATGTTTTCGACTAGAAACGTGGTAAGTATATACCTACGTTTCGGTGAACAGTGAAAAGTCAATTTCGAATATTTTCTAATTGTTTATCTATAAACGGTGGAGAAAAATCCTCCACGACCATAACGCTAATACATAATATATTATAATACTATTAGGTTGTAATTTTTTTTTTTTTATTCTCTAGAGGAGACCTTCCAAAGTATATAATAATAATATTGTTCTCGCCAAGTGAATTTTGCGTTATCGGTCGTATAAGCTCGCACTTGCGACCAAAACCGCGGGCACTTGGGACCAGAACCGCGGGCACTTGCGACCAGAACGTCTCGAGATCTGGTTTGATTTTTTCGTCCTCGGTTTTTTATCGCAATAAACAAACGGACGGGAAATGACGCCGCGGAGGTGTCGTCCCGCCGTGGGGGGGGGGCGGTTTGGGCAGCAGCTATAATAGAGGGACACGCGTGGGCGACGTCGGACACAAACATTTCGCGAATAGTTTTCGGGGGTGTGGGTGCCGGTGGGTGCCGGTGGGTGTGCACTCTCTCGGCGAGAGCGGGCTGGTGTCGCCGCGGGTAGTCTGCGCATAGGTAGGACGCGTGACCCGCGGCCGGCAGCGGCGTAACGTTCTCGCGCGACGCCGACCGCGTGACGTCATGCTGACGCCGGCGCGACCGGCCACGGCGCGCGACTCGGGCGGTTCGCTGTCGAAACGTGGCGCACAGTGCGTGAAATGGGAACAGGACGGACGCCACATGGGTTCGTCCAACTACAGTTCATACAACTGTTTGACGAGTTGGGACAGCTACGATAGGATACCCAGGTAAAAAAAATCGTGCGTGTACCTCGCTAACGGTATTTTTATTATTATTATCATTATTAGTTATTATAGGTATATAGTGTTATTTATACAGTTACTTGTGTCATTCAGATTAAGTACCTATGTATATTATATACCTGTAGGAGGTAGTTATAAATTATTATCTTAGTAATCCGGATCATCAATTAATATTTTAATTATAATCGTTATAATATTATGCGTGTACGATCGTAGAGCAATAATGTCTTATTATTATTACCCATCCACCCCACGTTCAATGAACATCGTATTACAAACGAAATTATTCGGAAATAATGGGATTTTCGCACTCGCTGTATATCATATTTTTTTTTTTTTTTTAATACCATACCTATAATATTGTTTCTTTATGCTCACTCATCTTCGATCTTTTAATATTTTCATGTTCACGGTTGTATTATATCGCGTATGTAGTTTCATGTTCACTGTTTCCTCAACGCAACATATTATTATGATGGTAAATTAGTAATCAAAGACATATTTTCACTATATATATTTTCGGTTTCTTCTTTCAAACAATTACTTCAAATATTTTGAAACACTTCACATCACACGAAACGTCAATTTTATTATAAAACACGTACGTCATTGACGTCTAAAGTTTGAGCCAAAGTAATTTATATAATTTATTACCTATTTACCTACCTAATAATATAGTAGGTACCTACTTACCCAAGTTTCACGACTATGCAGGTACGATGTAAATCGATTATACATTTAATATAATAAAAATTTTATTTTATTTTAATATATATACCTACCTATGTCTAATTTTTTATTCTATTAAAATATAAATAAAATATTATTGACCTTTATCATAGTATGATTCGTAATCAGGATTCCTTGAATAGGATACCATTTTCTTATGTGGTGTGTTTTGAATTTGTCATCCTCGCTCTACATTCGTATTGATATTAGTTAATATGGCATATAATATGTATTTATATATTTTTTTATGGCAGCTACAATTGTTATTATTAACCATTGTGTTTTAGGCTTTAAAAAAAGTCTCCTGGAAACAACTGTATATTTATTTTAAACAGTATTTTAACAATTGTTGAACATAAATTGGTTTTATCTTGGCTATAGTCTCATTCGATAAATGAAAATGTTACATAGGTAGCTCAACGATATCATTTAACAATTAATAACTATTCCATAGAGTATATGAATATATTAAGTATAATATTAGTATGTACAGATAATACAATGAACTTTCATATTTATACCTAATCACTACAATTCTAGACCACTTTCCAGACTACTCATCATATGTGGAATAAATAACAATAATATTATCATGTAAATCTACAAACATATTTTGTTCCAATACGTTTTTAAAAGACCTATACCTATAATAATATCATGCACCGTAATAAAAATATCATAAAGCCGTACGCTATAAATCATATTGTCATGAAATACTTCATCCACGAAGCAATTTATTCTCATCTTATTATAAGCGGCTCCAGTGTTATTTACGTATGTAATAGTGTTCAATATAATATATGTACTACATTTGTTTTTTTTTTGTCAATTAATATTTCGAAATGTTTTCATCAAATGTTTTATCCACCCTAAATGACCTTTTTACCTAAAATCTCTTTACTTACAGTTTCCCCCAACCACCATCATCGAGTATCCCGAAAACTCGTGGTCTAATGCTCTCTGTCCGAGTTAACGAAATTAACTCACGTTTGAACTAAATATCGTGAATTCCTAGAACACAAAAGTCCGGTACATACCATCCCAGTGGCACTGTGAGTGTTGAATAAATACTGTTCGCACCGATGAACCAGTGATTTGCTATTGGCAAAGGCCATTTATTAAATATGCAGGCGCACATGACGGCTTTTAGGCACACAATATGTATGTCACGAATTCAAGATGATGCGGCTGGTGCGCAAGTTGATGGATATTGTACGCAATTATTTTTGTCAATTTATTTATTAGTGTCCACGCAATGTATTTTTTCAATCATATTATGATTAGTATACCATGATATTTATTTGTCCCAAACGTATTATTAAACCCGAAACAGAACGCGATGGTAAGCTTTTTATTTATAAAAAAGTAAAAAACAAAAAAAATCAAAACGTATTATATCTGATGCTCCATATTATAGTGATTAAAAACGACATATTTATTTTTTATTAGTTTCTGTGTTTCACAACATATTAACGGCTAAGGATGTGGGTTTATGTGTACTTTACATTTTTTATATAATATTATTATACTTAATTTACTTTTGTTTTATTGAGTATTTATTATATAATATCTACCTTAATAATTTCATTCTGTTAAATTCAAAATAACATAGGTACGAATCGAATAATGAATATCAACGTCGATATATTTTATTAGCGTGACACGATCAAATTATATTGGTAATTGTTATATACGACGTAAAAACAAAAAAACAATAATGTTGATATCCTATTTATTGTTTTGTACATTGTGTTCGTAATGCGTTGCATTACAATGTAGGTGGCCGCAAAATGATAAGTTCAAATGACGAGTCCTATAAAGAAACCAATCAAGTTATGTTGTTATAATAAAAGCAGAATAAAAATAAAATAAACAATTCCCTTACCAAATAAGGTTTCTGTATCGAAGAAACCGTGAAAGTTTTACAAATGTGTGCATGTACATTTAATTTTACGAAAAAAAATTCTCAATGAATTCGGTCCGTTATCCGGAGTCAGTAAATCAAGATTCCTTCAATTACCTCGACTGATACTTTTTTAACGGAAAATCTTGGTTCATTCAAGAAGCTTTAGTCATATTCCCTACGCACAGGACTTACCACGTCTGAATGTCTGATTTGACACACTGTAGTACAATACGATAATACTAATACGATAATTCTGTTCAGCAATTATATTATATCATATTAGTAGTCCTAATTATATAATTGCGTGTCATTGTACATCGATAGACTTTTCCAAAGCAGGAAATTTATAAGATTTTGGCAGAGGGACACTATACAGCCATACAGGGTGAAACAGAAATAACTGACTAATTGAATAGCTTTTGTTCTAGTAAATATTTTTAGAAAAATTGGTATAAATTAAATTTTACACTTGCGTTATGTACATGAAAACTAATGTTTATGGCAAAATTCAAAATTTTTGTCATTCGTAAATCTGATTTTCATAACAATTTTATGGTAAATGTATTATATTTAACAGATGCATTTTTTGGTTGGATGAGAGAGCCCGGGTTGGAGTGGGTAAATTGCATGACTTGGTGAACAATTAATATAATATAATACACGTGTTTAACAAACATCTGTTAGTTTATCTTATATTATAGTATTTTAATTATTAGTAGGTATATTATGTTTTTTTAATTTTACAAACAATTATTTTTAAATAGTTTACGAATTAGGTTGACAACAGTTTAACAAGGATATTATAAAAATATTAAGAGTATAATAGTTATAATATTAATTTACTCAATTTTAGGTATATAAAAAAAATATATATAACCCCGAATTAAATTTTTAAAAAAAAAATCGAGTGGATTACCTATGTTTCTTCAACGCTAAGTCGCTAACTATGACTATGACAGTGTAAATAAGTAACATAACAAATACAATCTAGGATTGTATACTATATGTTTAAACACTACAATCTATATTATATAAATGATAAATATAAAACGAATCAAAGCTATAAATACATTTTCAGATTATTATACCAGTTTATTAAAGTGTCAAACAAATTACAAAATATTTGAATAGCTTAGTGTCAGTCCTCATAAAATGAAACACAATATTATTTTATTATCATTAGGCGATTTAAAATAGTTACTAAGTTAATAGTTTTATTTTCTAGCAAGTAAATGGTGTACTTGGCTGTAAGATCATACAGCCATCTAAAACGGTTTTTGGTGCACTTCACTGAGTGTCCATTGTGTTTCATTCAATTCTAAATGACGTAAGTCGTTATCGCTTTACTCAACATTCCTAATGCTGCGTGTGAATCCACTGAAACCCTTTTCAAATAAAAAAAAAGTTACCATAGTATTTTTGATTTCTTTCAAATAGTCACAAACTTTATACCATTATTGGCTTATTAACAACGATGACGTGACGAAAATATTGAGGGTTGTCCTGAACATATTTAATTAATTTTATCCTCATTCACTATACCATATATCATTATATTATTGAATATCGTTATATATATTTATACTAATTGGTATACTCATTAGACATAGTAAAAATCAAGTTTAAATAATCTTGAAAATATTTTATCTCTTTATTTACAATTTATATATGTTTGAAATTTGAAAATTTTCTTTGCTATCATTTTTGGACTGAAATAGAACTATAAATAATATATAATAAACTATACTACTATAGATAATTAGTATAATATATAAATTTACCTAGGCTGACAAGTCGTCTCCGATAATAATCGATGTTCATATCCATAATATTGATTTATCATTGAATTCAAATGCAACATATCCGTTACAGTACTCAACGGAAATGTACACTTGAATGTTACTGCACAGCAGAACGGTACCAACTTGCCCACTTTTCAAAAACTAGATTATAATTACTTTAATTTAATTTTCTAAAGTAGAAATTGAAATAATTAAATATAAATTAAACTATTTAAATTGTTGTGTATTTTATTAAGCCTCTCAGAAACGTCTTCTCCTAAAGTCGCACTTACACAAATAATTTGTAATTAAATATTAATAACATACTCGTTGTGTACTCGGAATATTTTATTGTTTTGTCCTTCATTAAAAATTGTGGTGGGGTGCTGAACATTTTATGCTTATTTCACCTATAGTTTTTATAACGCATTTTAATTTAACAGTTATTGAAAACGAATTTTACAATAATAATTATAATTATTATAGCAATTATTGTATATTAAGGCACTTGTTATAATTTTGAGGTCTAGCGGGACTAAGACCTGTATTTTGAACTTCCATTTGGGCTT